AAGATAGAACAGAATCGATTGAACTACTTAAGACTAAATCAATCTTCTCTTCGTACTGAAATGTATCAAGAGCCATAGATGCAATACATGCAGGGGATAACAGCAACAATATTAGTCGTCATGTGATTCTACCATTATCATTTACTGGAAGTCCTTGGCAAATGTATCAGGATGCAATGGCCATAGTAAGTCACTTTGGGAAGCCTGACCTTTTTGTAACATTAATCTGTAATCCTAAATGGCCTGAAATAATGAGGGAATTACTACCAAATCAAAATGCAGCTGATAGATCTGACCTAACCTCACAAGTATTCCATCTAAAGCTGCAGGAATTACTAAAAATCTATATGTTAAGCATGTTTTAGGAGAAGTTATCGCATATGTTTACATTGTAGAATTCCAAAAACCACATGCTCACATCCTTCTAATATTGTCACAAAAATCAAAATTGCACTTTGCAAATGATTTTGATTCAATTGTTTCTGCTGAACTTCCAGATCCTGCGACGCATCCTTTAGCTTATGAAACTATAGCAAGTACTATGATGCATGGTTCATGTGGTGTACTAAATCCAACTGCTCCCTGCATGAAAGATGATATATGTCAAAAGCGTTATCCTAAGACATTTCAAGAAACCACTCAAGAACTTCATGATGGATATCCTGTATATCGTAAATAAGATACAGATCAGTTTGTTCAATCTAGAGGTGGTGTTCAGTTAGATAACAGATGGGTTGTACCTCACAATATCGGTTTGGTTACTAAATATAATGCTCACATTAATGTTGAGATTTGCTCTTCTATCTTGGCAATCAAATACCTATATAAATATGTTTATAGGGGTCACAATCATGCAACTGTCACACTTTCTTAATCAAATAATATTAGTAATCAATAAACATCAGCCTAAATGGAGCCATTTGATGAAATCAAAACATATCTAGATGCAAGATATGTTTCAGCTTCTGAAAGTATTTGGAGAATCTTTCGTTACAAGATGCATAATCGTTCTCCAAATATACAAAGACTGGCAATTTACCTCCCAGGACAACAATAAGTTACTTTTCGAAATGGAGATGATCTACATCATGTTGTAGAATGTTCCAACCTACATAAAACAACATTAACAGCTTAGTTCTAAGAGAATATAGAGAATCCTTCAGCCTGTATATATAAATATACCGATTTTTCTCTTCATTATATCTGGAACACATCTTGCCACAAATGGAACCTTCGAAAAACCACAACCGAAGCAATTGGAAGGCTTTACATTGTACAACCTTCTGAAAGTAAGAGGTATTATCTTCGAATCCTACTTATTCATGTCAAAGGTGCAATCAGCTTCGATGATCTCAAATCCGTTAATAGACATTATTATCAAACCTTCAAAGAAGCATGCATTTGTTTGAGCTTCCTTCAAGATGACTCTGAATGGAACACATGCTTACATGAGGAAAGTCAATTACAAACAGGACAACAACTATGACATCTCTTTGCAATGATCCTTCTTTTCTGCAATCCAACGATACCTGAACAGCTATGGAACATTCACAAACCAACATTATGCGAAGATATTTTATACTGAGATTGTCTCATTATCCAAAACCAAGACTGTGTTGTGACTGATACAATTGAAAATGAGGCACTTAATCAATTAAATAATTACCTGTTGTTAAATGGGAAATTATTAAAAGATTTCCCAAATATGCCTCTTCCTTCAGAAACGCTGATAGATCGTAATACCCAAGACTTAGACTAATTGATCTGAGAAAAGAGATCATATGATATCACACAATTGCAAACTGAATTACATTAAAATCTTCCTTTACTAAATAAAGACCAAAGAGCTATATATAATGCTGTTATTGAAGCTATTGAACATACATCCAGGTATTTTTTTGTGGATAGACCTGGCAGTACTAAAAAAACGTTTTTATATAATATGTTGTTCGCAAATGTCAGATCATGTGGTGAAATTGCCCTAGCTGTGGCATCTTCTGGGATTGCTGCCCTTTTGATAACTGGAGGTAGAACTGCACATTCACACTTCAAAATTCTGATTAAACTAAGTCCATCTTCGACATATAACATTTTGCGAGGCAGTAAAGAGGCCTGTTTAATTAACTTAGCCAAGCTTATCATTTGGAATGAGGCTCCAATGATTCACAAGTTTGCATTTGAAGCAGTTGATTGTACCCTTTGTGACATTACACAAATAGACGAACCTTTTGGAGGAAAAGTTTTTGTCTTTGAGGGAGATTTCTGTCAAATCCTACCTGTTATACCACGCGTTACTCGCACTGAAGTTATTTCAGCAAGCTTTCACCAATCGTTTGTGTGGAGACATTTAAAAATAATGAAATTATCAATAAATATGAGATTTCGCCAAACTAATAATTCTTAAGAAAATCAAAATCAAAGAAATTTTGCAGAATTTCTTTTGAAAATCGAAAATGCTAAATATCCGATTGAGCCAGACACAGAAGATATTATAACTCTTCCTTTAAATATGTCGATGTCTAAAGGGAATTTAACAGATCTTATCAACTTCATCTATCCAAATTAGCATAAAATATCGGCAATATAAATTACATGGTTGGTAGAGCCATCTTAATCCCAAAAAACATCGATGTTGAAAAGATTTCAAATATAATCATGGATCAACTTCTGAGTGAAGCTCATGTATATACTAGCGCGAATTCAGTAGATTCGATAGAAGGGGATCCTCAATTGTATTCACCCGAATTTTTGAGGTCATTAAAAATTCCTGAACTTCCTTCTGGTGAGTTAAAGTTAAAGATAGAAATACCTATCATACTTTTACGAAATCTAAATCCATCAGAAGGCCTTTGCAATGGAACTAGGCTGATTTGTCGCAACCTTCAAAATAAAGTAATTAATGCTGAAATTATCACAGGCTCTCATATTAGTAAACGTGTTTTCATTCCTTAGATCACATTAACTACTTCTGATAGTCATCTGCCCTTTATTTTGAAATGCTGACAATTACCAATCTGTACTGCCTTTTCTATGACTATCAATAAGTCATAAGGCCAAACGTTAAATCAAATTAGCCTTTACCTATCACAACTAGTTTTTTCACATGGCCAGTTATATGTTGCCTTATCGAGGGTTACTTCATACCAATCCATTAAAATTCTAACAGATGATACTAATCAATCCCACCAGACAAAAAATGTTGTTTATACTAAAGTTTTTCAAACCATTTAATTTGTTTATACTTACCTTTAATAATGATAAAATAAAATCAAATACTTTTAATAATCAATAATCAATAATTAATAACAGATCTGAAATCACATGACTACATTTTTAATTACATCTAATAATAATTCAAATTTAAATACTAACCACTAATTGTAAATCTTTATTAAATAATAGCATTATTAATACAATTAATAATAAACATATAAAAATCCTGTTGCTTGCAACGGATTAACAACTAGTTAAAAAGATTTTTAAAAGAAGATATCAAAAAAAAAAAGAAATTGAATATGCTGAATCACCTAGTATAGTATTAGAAAATTGGACAATTTTAGATAATTTTGAATAGGTTATAGATATATTTTTCTACGTCTAAAATCTTATCCAAAATATTTAAATTAAAAAATATGTCCAAAACCCAATACTGATCTAGCATATAATCTTTATCTTGAATATATTCAATTCTATTGAGATAAAAATCCGAATTAGTATAAACTTGTACATCATGTATTGATTTAAGTCATCTTATTATATAATAAATAAAAATTTTGTGAAAATCAACAATTTCTTGATATTTAATTGTATATCTTTTTTTGTAAAAAATGCTATTAGATCTTATGTAGGTGTTTTATTTAAAATAAAATGAATTCCATCTATTACTCTAATAATATTTTAAAACTCACCAATATTTTGAAATTCTATGTGAACAACTGTTCTAATATTATTTTTAGGTCATTGAACAAATTCTGATTTTTTATTCCTTATAATTCTCATTACATAATTTAAATAAAGAATTACAGTACTTTTTGATATTTCAAATCTAGAATAAATATCTATAATATCATCTTTAGAACTAATATGTTAAAGAAATATTGCTAATTGAAAATCAACTAACACTTGTAACTTTTTTCCTTGACTTTAAAATATTATATTATACTGTAAAATTTGTACTAGTCTATTAAACTGCTGCTTTTTCATTTGTAAAGTAAAATAAATATCATCATATAAAGATAATATTTCATATTACTAATGTTTAGATTTAACAATATTATATGTTCGAGAAATAAGATAATGAGAAGACAAAGTAAAAAGAATTACTTTTATTAATTCAAAAATATCATCTTCTAATTCATTTAATTCATTATTAAAAGAATTATTTATTTTCTCTATTAATAATAATAATAAAGCATTATCTACATCTTGTTTAATTGACATGATTGGTTAAAATTTTAAAATGAAACAAATCAATTTGGCTCAATTCTTACCATTTGTTAATTGGTTAAAATAATTTCAAAAAATTAGATCAGATCAAAATAGATTAGAATTGAACAGGGCTAGTATCACCCCCTCCTTCAAAGGACAGTTTTTTGCGAAATCTTATTTGTCACGTATTTGTTACGGCTAGAATTATTTTAAAGTTATGGTTAGGTAGACAAATTCACGTGATATAAATAAGTATAATTTGTATAAATTATACCATCTATGTGAAAATCACTTGTTTCAAAATTTTTTACAAATGGTCATATGATTTGTGGCGCAGTAATCCACGTTGTTTTAAGAAACAATTCGTAATTTCCCGTTTTCCCGTTTTCTATGCGTCAATATGCATCAAACAAACAAATTAATCCAAAAAAAGAAACAACAAAAAAAAAAAAAGATATCGATAGATGTAATAAATAAACTTCTGTCAACTAGTTACAAATTTTTTTCTTGATTTCGGCGTTTTATTCAAAGAATTCTGGTTTTTTTTTTCGGAAGATATTGATAGTCTTATCATGTCAAGAATAGCGCCAAACCCTGAACAATTTTCTGAGGATCCTCCACACGTTACTTTCCTTCTTCCTACGAAAAATCCACCTTCTTCATCTTCAAGTAGGACTCCTTCAGTAATTTCTGTTGCCTCTATTAATTTTACTTTGAAACAGCCACGTTATCATACTCTATACCAACCTTCATGGCGTGAACAGTTGGCCGTTGAACTTGACAACTCTGCCATTGGTAGTATATGGAAATTGGTTGACGCTTTCCTCAATATATTATTATGTGGTATTTACATTGCAAACACGAACGATATGAAGGGAACCTTGCCATGGTTTAACGTGTGGTTAGAAGTCTTAGTGTCAATTATCTTATTAATGGAATATATTCCAAAGTTTTATATCTATGAATTAAATTCTTGGCGTTCCTTGTTTACCAGTCCTACACCAATTCTTACACTTTTAACTGTATACCCTGTGGTAACAACTGCAATCGATCCTTTTTTTCAAGAAACCCGTTATATAGTTTTTTTTTATCCTTTTAGATTCATTCGTTGCTATTTTTCTGTGTACGAATGTTTAGTTAGAAGTGAAAAATCTGTTTTAAAATTAGGCCAAGTTACTAGTAAATTTTTGATTTTTTTGCAGACTATCATATTTCTTGTATTAACTGGGTCTTCTTTATTACACGGCGTGGAATATGTTTATATGGTATAATTAATTTGAAATCTTTTTTTTTTAAAAAAAAAAAATTAAATCAAACTCTTTTATTTTGATTAGGGCGAGAAACTTACTTTCTTAGATGGTACATTTCATTATTAAAACATTATTCTCCGTCATTATTTCTACTTAGACCGATATATATTAATTATTGGTCATGAATAGCTGTGTTTTTCACGACTATTATGTTGGGCACCGTCGGATACCTTAGTGATATAGTACCTGATAATGCATTTCCCAGAATTCTTTTATTAGCCATTTTTACGACTGGCTTAATATTTATTCCGGTAAGTTTAAATTTTAATTGGTATTTTTTTTTTAGTCAAAATAATTTAATTCTAATGATTTTCTATTTAGTATTCGATATCGGAATTGATCGCATTGATACGTTCCAAATCAGTTTATGATAGGCCATTTAAAAAGATTTCACAGCAACCACATGTTATTATTATTGCACCAACTTTAGAATTACCTTCTTTAAGGCACTTTTTAAAAGAGTTTTATTCGTTGGCGCATGGCCCTGCTACGGTTAACACTAAGGTGTGCGAAAAAAATTTTTTTTCATGTGGTTCATTGTAAGGTTCATGTTTAAAGGAATGCGCATTGATATACCTTTGATTTTCATTAAAATAAAAGGTGGTGATATTAAATCCTATGGATCCTACAGATCGCGTGAGGACATTCCTTTCTGATCCCGTCTTCGCACATCGTGTACAATATATTCGTGGGAGTTCACTTGAGGCGCGTAGTCTTGAAAAGGCTAATGCAAAACACGCGTCTGCCTATTTTATTTTAGCCAAAAAATATACTCAACAAAGTGAAATTATAGATGCGGAGAATGTATTGAAAGCGATCGTACGTACAAAATATCAAGATCAATTTGTTTTGTTTGCGAATTTTTTTTTAAATTTAAATTTTTATTCATGTGATAGGCATTGAGAAAATTCGATCAGGGACCAAAACTTTATATTCAATGCATTTTGCCAGAGAATAAAGTTCATTTTGAGAGTTTAAGTAGGTTAAAATTCGTTGTAATTGTTTAAACGTGAATTTTTGTTGAAACGATTTCTTTATCTCTTTAAAGATCCCGAACAAATAATATGCACTGACGAGTTAAAACTTGCTATTCTTGCACATTCATGTCTTACTCCTGGTTTTTCGACTCTTTTGTATGGATTAACTACTTCATTTACATTTGAAACTGCCCACGAGTTAAGAGCTAGATCAAAGAAAATGAAAGGTTCGGATTGTATTGACACTGACACTATTGAAGATTATATTACTGGGATTTCGCAATCGATATATACGACCACTTTATCCGAATTTTTCTCAGGAAAAACGTTCCTTGCTGTTGCCGGTGAGATATAATTAAATTATTACTACAAGGCAAATGGAAACTTTACTCATATATATCTTTTTAATTATAGAGCGGCTTTATGATAGTTTAGGTGTAGTTTTGTTTGCTATTGGGATTCCAAAACAACGTTCAATTAGCAGATATACAAATAATTGGATTTATGGTCAACATGAGGAAGTAGGGGAGGAGGATTCTAAAAATTACATGGTCTTAATAAATCCTGGGGATTATGTTGTGAAAGGTGATGAGATTGGATTCGTCATTGCATTAGATGGTTCTATAGCAGATGGTGTTTCGTCTTATAAGGGTCATAATGGAAATCCAAGGAGTACTGTTATATCACCTGAAAGACATGGGCAAGTCCCACCAGAAAGACAACCATTATTATCTGCTGATGGATTGAAAAACAATTCGGGCGGAGGATATTTTGATCTAAAGAAAAAAGCAGGTCCAGCAACAACACCTGATGGACAGCATGAGTATCCACATAGACCTGATTCTTCAGTTGCACGTCGTCATCGTGCACTGTCAACACCTCTTGCTTTAAACGATGAACATCAAGTTCGTCATCACCCTTCACATCATCACACCATCGATCCTATTTCACATGGTGCCTCTCTAGCACACGATGTTGAACATCCAAACTCTATTATTGATGTTATCACCGGTCATATTATTTTGTGCGATTATTCACCAACCATATTTCCACGTAACCTTGATTGTTTCGTTAGTCCGTTACGGAAGTCTTACTTAGAGAAAATAACTCCTATAATCATTTTATCATTGGTAAGGCCAAGTCAAAGTCAATGGAAAATTCTAAGTCAATTTGATCAAGTTTATTTTGTGCAAGGAAATCCAATGACAAGAGAAGGTTTAGAACTTGGAAGAGTGAAACACGCTAAACAAGCTGTATGTATCCCTTTGATTGTGAATTACTTATAATGTTTTAACAAACGATAATAAAAATTTTATTACCTATAGGTCATTTTAACAGATTCCACCCGAATTTTAAGGCATACATTTTACTTATTTGCGTGCCCTTTATTCATTTTTATAATAAATCTCATGATCTCTTTTTAATTTCAAAATAGGAATGGAGAAAGAACAGAAGACGCATCAGCAATGTTAGTCTATTTGAATATTAAGGCTATGTGTAATGCAGACATTGATGTGTTTGTAGAATTTGTTCATATGGATAATATGAAATTTATGTCTGAGGACGCATCGGCTATTGATAAGAATATGCAAGGTACATACATACATTTGAAAATTTACACGTTTGTATCTTGAGAAAATTTACTTAAAGTATTTTTATCTATTTTGTTATAGCACATCATTCACCGGCTTTTATGGCTGGTACATGCTTTACTTTATCTATGTTGGATAGTATAATTTGTCAATCATTTTATCAACCACACCTCGTAGCGATAATCCATCAGTTACTTTTTGGCGCACCTCCATTGCACTTACCTTCTGGGGCTACATGTCCCGCGCCTGCTCATTCACATTTTTTTCAAATCCCTATTCCACAGGCATATATTGGGTTTCAATATGGTGCATTATTTAAATATTTTTTGGAAGAAAAAAAGGTTATACCTTTAGGATTGTATCGAACTAGGAAAATGAAAACTTCCGATGATAATATAAAATCAACTAAATATGTTTATACCTGTCCTAGGTATAATGTATATTTAAGAGATGATGATAAGGTTTTCGTATTAAGCAAAAGAATGCCTGTTTGTTAATGAGAAATGCTTCAATTTCCTAGATATGGATAGTGACATTTTGAGTAATAATATTCTTTATTTAATGATTCATGAGAAAAGGTATATATATATATTATTTATGAAAAAGATATATTAATATTATTATATAAATGTAAAAAAAATGGGCTTTAAAAATCGCTGTAATTTATCTAGTTATATATATAAATTATTTTTAAATAAAAAAGATAATTAAAAAAATTTAATGAAAAATTCAGAATATTGAATAATTAGAAAATGATAAAGTATATTTGCTAAGATAAATAAAAATTGCTTAATTAGAATAATATAATTAAAAGATAAAATACATATTAAAATTCAATTGATTATCTCTTAGATTATAAGGATTTGCAGACAAATTTGTTTGCTTATTTTTAGAAAATGTTTTTCCTATTTTATTTGACATATTGAAATTTTATAATAAAAAAAAATAATATTGATATCTTAACAAATAAATAAACACCTTTTGGGTTAATTAATTGATTAATTGATTACTATAAATTTTCTTAAATTAAAATTTTAAATTAATTTTTATAAATATATATTATATATAAGGGAAGAGCCAGAAATCACGTGATTAAACGCCAATATAAGGTCTGATCCCTCCCCCCCTTGTGATCTGACGCCGATATATTGATAATCTTTTTTGTTGAAAGAAATTATCTGTTGCACGTGAACTCCTCTTTCTCACTCATCCATCCATAAGATAACGAAAAGGTATGTATTTTTTTATTTTTTTGCCCTTTGAAGTCATCATTCATCTTTGCTGACAAATTTATAAAACATTTACTTAGGGAAATGTAACTTTCCTTGATCCCTATTTTAAAAAAAAAATTCTGTGTCATAAAGCAACTTCGTAAATATTTTTCTTGTTAGTTTTTTTTTTGTTCCAGATGTTTATAGATACTAAAAAAAAAAAAAAAAAAAAATGCAAACTTTTTTAATATATATATCATGAGTTTTATAATGCATAGGCATATCGGAAAATTATTGAACTTTTGAATCCAACACCATTAAAATAACAACTATTGAAGTAAGCAAATACTATGTGAACTGAAATAAAATTGAAGGGTACAAATGAAATTAAGAATATTATTACAAGTTATCTAGTTACTTCGATTCCATTAACAAAATATGAATTTTAAATTTTGAATTCTAAGAATTCTAGACCAGTTTACCAAGTTAAACAAAAACCTATAATAATTCACTCTGAGGAAAATCAACCATTACCAAATGCAATAACACAGCAAAATGCTAATTACGAAAGGAAACGTGCTTAAAAAAAATTAGTAGAATATACTATTATGCTTGATATTACAACAGAAAATTCTATGCAACAACAACTTGTACATAAAATAGAAATAGAAAAACAAATAATTGCACAGCAAAGTAAATAACTTACCAACTTAAAACGTCATGCAGTATCACAAAGAAGACTTCGGGAATGAAAGTGACAATTATTAGAAAAAAATGTTGCATGCATATATAAAGTTTAGTTTAGCTGATAATCGACGAAGAAAAAAATGGATTAAAGTTTATATAATTTCACATCTTTGTATAACTATGGAAGAAAATTACAATCAATATATGTCAAAGTTTAGTCTTCAAATATATCTTTTACTATGTTATCCAAATTCTATTCAAGTAAAATGATATCATTATCCAGCTCTTATTAGAAATGTTGCAGTATCTAGAAATGAAATGAATCCACATGAAGATGGTCATTATTGTTTAGTATCTGTAAAAAGTGTTAGACAATTTGCAGAAGCTTTCTCTGAATATTTAATTATTAAATCACAAGATGATAAAGCTAAAGTACCTTTAGAAATTCCAGCAGTAAGTCATACTTTTTCAACAGTTTAATCATAAAATCAACCAGTATTTATTTCTGATCATAATTTTCTAGTATCTTCAAAACACAAATTAATTCTTTCAGTATATCTTATAATTGATCTAACTGATACAAATGAATCAATGAGATCAGAAAAATTAGCAGTTTTTGTAAAACCAGAATTATGAATATCAATATCAGCTTCAAGTCATATGTTTGATTTACAAAAAATTCAATAACTTCAAAGTTTTCAATCATCTTTTTTAGATAATAATAAAATGCATTGTCCAATTTTAGTTCTTTTGATAGATGGAGGACCTGATGAAAATCTGCGTCATTTAAAAAATAATTGATAATAATTTAGCATTTCAGAATTTTGCTTATTCTGAAGAAATTTTATGTGAGTTATGGAAAAAGGATAATATTAATGGTCATCCTGCCCTATAAAAAATTTGCATACGTTTTTTTATTATTATAAATAAGTTTTGTATATGTTTTTTAAAATTCCGTATCACATTTCCTTATATTTTATAAGGAATTTTTTTTTAGCATTTTTTTATAAAAAATGATGTATAAGGAATTGTT